ATGTTAAACAATTAAATGTTAGATCATTAGATTATTATCACTTACATATTTATGTGTAAATGGTGTTTTGCTGCCATTCATTGACCGCATTTTATCTTAAATGAATGAAAAGTTGCAGAACAAGTTAAGATCAAGTGGCAAAAATCGTGACAATGCTTAACTTCCAAAATGAATCTAATCCCAGATTATGCAAATGTTCTCATCAGTAAATTAGACAAACTTCATCAGAGCATTATTTCCTTTCATATACGTCTAATCTCAATTATGCAAATCCAAAAGAAAGTGAAGAAATTTAGCATTTTTTTACGATACCAAAAAAAATTCTAACATTTAAAAACATCTCTACGAGGACAAAACATTTTTACACATTAAAACCCTAAATTGATAATTGTGTTGAGTGTCGGGCCAATCACCACCAGAAAAATAGGCGTTTAGTTTTCTTTCTTCAATTTATTAGAAGATTGCTGGAACACACCTCCCTGTTGGATTTGGCTCACACAGGATGAACAGTACCGATGAAAGAAAGGACAACAGAGGAGAGTGGAGGAGGAGTGATGGGATGAGAGGAGGGAAGGAGACAGTGGGACATCTTCTTTTTTTTTCTTCCATGATGCACATGTCGCTGCAGGTTTTGTAAACATACTTGTGCACAAAGTAAAAATTATTACTTACACAACCGTAACAAGTAACACGACAAACAACGTGGTGATCTCCATGTGAAAACAGGCAATAAACAGTGACATCCACAACATGAGGTCTATCAGTAGACAGCTCGGTAGTGATTCTTCTCCCAATGCATAGAGTGTTCGCACTGCAAACTCACAATTTCGTTGTTTTCGTTGGATCAGAAAAGAGTTTCGTGCTCTGTGGGTCTTTTTTTTGAAACTTTGTGATGCCAAATGTTGACCACAGACCATATAATTTATTTCCAAAAGACAGGAGCTCACCTCTGACACGTAATAAAGTGAAGTCTGTATATACAAAAAAACCATTTCGACACAAACCCCAAGGGTCTTTTTTGTGCAAATTCAAAATAAATATATCTATAGATGTGACAGCCCTGCAAGAGGCTAAATTACTGCCCGTGATTTTCATGCAGGCCTATTTATTTTCCGTTAGCCATAAAAGTTTGCAAACTAAATTTGAGTTCATAGCAGCCTCCAAATAAATAAATAAATAAATAAATACACAGATGAATAAATGAACAGATCCATGAATTATTTCTATACCAACAACGACAGAAAAAAATAACCAAACAGAAGAACACAGTTCAACAATCAATGAGGTAATTCGTAAATGGCTATACTTCAAATAATAGGCCTATCAGGAGAAAATAACTCGCTATATCATCAAGCAAATTACCTCTGTCCACGCGTGTTTATTATTTAAAAAAGGCAATGTCAAACTTTTTCCCCTCGATAACAACTGAGCAGAATTTGTGTGATCTGTTATTTGCATACTTCTCATTCACCGATAACGTGAAAATAAACCAGATATAATATGAAGCCTTGTAAAACGGGAATCTAAAGCCCACATGTGCACCAACGTGTAAAATATCGCTGGAGACAAAAGACTGAAAATGGTGTCTTAGTGTCCCTTGGTCCCCAAATTCAGTCTCTCAACTTATTTCTTTTTCTCTCTTTGCTCATCAGTGAGTGGCGGAAAATTTCAACCTCTTCTGTTTCTGTCTTTGGTTACAAAACCACACTCGCACCACATTTTTTTTCAGGTCCAACTTTTCCGCGATAGCTGCGATTTTCTCGGACGAAGGTCGCGGCTGCACGGCGAAGTAAGCCTCCAGAGACCTCTTCTCCGGGGCCGCTATCGACGTCCTCTTGCGTTTCTTTTCTCCTCCGTTGAAAATGTCCGGTTTGCTCATTTTCTCCCTCTGGGCCCCCTCGGCCTCCTCCAGCCAGGCCTGCAGGATGGGTTTGAGCGCGATCATGTTGTTGTGGGACAGAGTCAACGACTCGAATCGACAAATTGTACTTTGGCTCAGTGACCCCACGCCGGGGATTTTGAGATTAGCCAGGGCGCCGCCCACGTCCGCCTGGGTCACCCCCAGCTTGATCCTCCGCTGCTTGAAGCGCTCCGCGAAAGCCTCCAGCTCCCGTGGGTCCGTGTCCGAGTCATTGATTGAGGGGAGTCCGTTGTTAGTGAGCCCTGGGCCGCCTTGACTCCCCCCGTGGTGGCCCGGTAAGAGCCCGTGGTGGGTGAGAGGCGAGTTCATGCCCATAGCCTGGTGGGAGAGGTGACTCAAGCCGTGCATGTGAGAGTGAGGGTGTCCGGAGGGGGTGGAGATGAGCCCGCCGCCACCTCCGCCGCCTCCGCCACCTCCACCGCCGGTCCCGTCGTGCGACATGAGAGTGAGGGACGGCGAGCCCAAGTGGTCCATGATGTCCGGCGGCTCCAGGTTCTGGTGGTGGTGGTGGTGATGGTGATGGTGGTGGTGGGCCAGTGGCACGGTGGACGTCGACGAGCAGGGCACCGCGCTCATCGTGTGGTAGGTGGCGTCGGGCTTGAACGGATGCGTCTTGCCCTGGGACACGGCGATGTCCACAGCCGCCAAAGCCTCAGCCCGGGCCAGCAGGGTCTCATCCAGGCTGGCGAATATGTTACTCTGCAGCTGCAAGAGTGGAAATTATAAAAAAAATAAAGAAATGGTGGGGGAGAGAGAGGGGCAGGAGAACGGAGGCGAAATGGGGGAAGAAATAGACAAAATAGAAGAAAGGGAGGCGGCAGAAAAAAAGAGAAAAACATAAATAAATGCATCTGTCAGTCGGGACATTTGGCAACACACAACAGAGCCGGAGTATTCCGTCAGAAGCGGCAAGTCATAAAAATTAATACAAAAAAGAGTAAAGCCGAGCTTTGCGTGAGCATGCTTTCAAAAAGATCACAGACTCTTCCAGTGATCGCCGTGGAATACATGAAAAAAACATTAAGTGCGCGTCTTGGCTGAATGTGCCTTGGAGCAGCCCTCGTTATTACGCACAGACCGCGTTCGGCGCTACATGCAGCCTAAGCACGGAATAAAAAGGAGAAAGTGCAAGTTTTTGGTTGGGGATCATTTACCTGTGGAGTTTGTAGACAGGCTCTCCTTATAGCTTCCGAGCTGGAGTGCAGGGTGGTGTACTTGTGCTCGGGTAAAGAGGGATGCATGGCGAAGTGCGGCTGTTTGCTGTTCATGGACATCATCTTGGCGAGCTTCTCCAATTAAAGTGCACGGGAAAGAAGAGGGGGAAGCGGCTGCAGGAGCTGGAAAACAGTCATAGATACACAGCGGATCCTCTTTGCCGATCCGGTAATGACGCGCCGCTGCAGTTCGCTGTGCTGTGCGCCGAGGAGCAGCCTTGAGCCCGGAGATCACAGAGATGCCTGCAGTCTCTCAGACGCACTTATCTGTCTACTGTTTCCCACTGCTGGGGATGAGAGAGGCTCTTACACCTGAGCGCCTCAGATCTCGTCAAGCCCCTGCTCGGCTGCTCTCGCGAGACACAAAGTGCCAGAACAGTGAGCAGGCTGACAAATAAAAACTGCTCACAGGGCAGGCAGGAACATCTGGAGACGAGACGCTTGCGCCCTTTTTTATTTTTATAAGGGCTCACTCCTCTCCATCCAGTCACGGAAACGTGTCCCGACGTCTTAAGGCCTAAATTATGACTTAAACCTTTGACCTCAGTGTTTATTTTCAGCATTGATCCATTTTAAAGTATTTATTTGGTTTCAGGAAAAACATTTTTATCGGGAATTGGTGCGTAAAATGGAATATCAATGTAAATATAAAAGCAGCATCATAATATGGAAATATTACAATATATTTCTATATTATTACATTTGTATATTTATTTTCCTATCAGTTGTTCAAATGTGTTGCACTGTTTCCCATTTGACTTTGTTCTTGTCCCACTTGTCTCTCATCTTAACCCTGTGGAAGTAATGAGGCCTCGTCATTAAGGGCCATCATCGCCCGACGAGCATTAAACAAATTGATTTAATACACCAGCGTCACCTTGTACACAGTCTTTACCTAAATTAATTAATCCCAATGAATTAACACTTCATTTATTCAAACCACCGCGGTTACGCAATTAAATTTTCATGCGCCGATTAGAGTATATGTGAAATATACATGATATCGTTAAATTTGCATAATAAATAAGGCGCTTTCTGCTAAAATGGAATTAACTGTGTGCGTGTGAGGTCTCTTAATGTGTGTGTCGCTATAGGCTACAACAAGATTTCACCGGCATGGAAGAGGCCATGCTTTTAATGGCAGCAAATTATTAATTATTATAGTCGAGTGGAATGGAAATAATCAGGAGATGCACAAAAGAAAGTAATATGACAAAAAAAAAAAAAAAGGTTTTAGTTTGTCCACTAAATATTAATCCCAATTTCCACTGAAATAAAAAAACTGGAAAATTAATCCCAAAATATCAGGCCAGTGTAGCCCATGGCTGCACATGACTGATCGTCACTGACTGAGTTTTTAGGTGACTTGAATCATGCAAAAGATGAAAAAACACAATAGAAAATTAAGCTTCATACATTGCATTACTTTTTTATTTCCTAACACTCTTATGTTGCCATATTTAATTCAAAATGTCATTTTTCATGATAGTCATCCATCTTCAGTATTGCATGTCATCATAAAAAGATTACCATGTTTCCTGAATTGCCAGAAATGACCGACACGTGACACTCGAGAGGGCTGAAGGAAGACTGCACCAGAAGTGATGCACTAACACAGACCAACAAAGAAGTGTCTGTTATTGTTTGCTCAATTACAACGCACACATGTTCAAACTAGAGTCTAGATCGGCCTTAATGGCTATTTAACTGCTACCAAGAGCAACAAGAACACTACACAAATAACTACCTGAAAGACAAAATGACGAGAAGTTACACCTGAGCATCACGTTCACACGTTTCATGAAGCAACATGAAGTTAACGTCACCAGTCGTGTACACGTGAAAGCTGACACTACAGTGTATATGGCACAGTGAGAACACACAGGTCCGCTTTCTAAAACCTTCACATGAGCTTTGAAAGTTTTGTGGGACTGCTTGTGCTAAAAGGACTGTGAGACTTCCTCTTCGTTGGCTGACTGATGATGAGTGCGTGTCTGTCTCTCGTTGTGTTCGCAGGTTTTCCATTGCAGCTGAAAGAGGAGGAGGGGTTTACGTGGTCATGGTCTTTGCCTGATGGACTCAGAGAGCCGGAGGGACCTGCTTTACTGTCTTCCATCGAATCAAACAGCAAATCGAAAGACAGTTCTTCAGTCTGGGAGAGACCTTCGTCCTCATCAGAAACATTGACGCGACTTTCCCTACCTGACACCTGCGCTGCAATACCTTCCTCCGCAGCGCCTTTTGGAGCCGCTTTGTCAATCGAGGTGCCATCCGTGTCGTCACATGGTTGGTGGTTCTTCTGGCCATTGCCATTGTGGGTTGACATGATGCCAGGGCAGGTTTGTGGATCTGGGACTATAGTGTTGTCCAAGTCTGCGGGAGGGGAGGGGACCAGGGAGAGCTGTGACCCTCTGCTACTAGAACTCTCTCCATCCAGCATCATGGAGTCCAGCTCTGAGATTTTGTCCAGGTAAGCTGCATCCATGGAGGCCTCGCTGGACATCTGGAAACTATCAGGCTCATCACCTACAAGAGCAGTAGATGTGGATCCTTGAACTGGGCTTTCTTCACTTGGACCTGGACACGGCTGGTCGTCAGAGTTAGATCTCGGCCAATCGCCCCAGAAGTCAGACTTAGAGGGTTCCACGTCAGCCGTCGGAGGCAAGCCTTTGGTGAATTTGTCCAGGATGCTGAACTGGTTCTCGATGGCACTGTTCATCTTACCAAGGTTTGGAAAATCTTCAAAATCAAGCTTCCTCAGATAAGACCCGGGCTTAAATGCGACTCTCTTTTCACGGATGCCGGGGCTTCTCAAAGTCAGTGAACGGAAAGCAGAAGACGGAGTGGTGGGCAGCAAGTCAGAGGAGCTGCTCTCCAAGTCCTCGCTTGTCTTATCTGCAGCCAAATTCTTAATAAACTCTTTGTGGTCTGCAGATGGCACGAACGTCAAACTGTGATTTCTGGAGATTGTGCGACACTCCGTCTCTGGGTTGCTGCAGATTGACGCCCTCTCATTGTCACTCAAGCTTCTCATCATCATGCTGATTTTCTGTTGCCGTGTGAGAGCTTCTGACCCAGCCTTGCTGCTCCCACACACTTCCCGCCCTTCAGGACTTCTCTTCTCTGACTTTGTGACGCGAGACTCCAGGTCTTCAATGTACTGGTCACTGCGCTCCAGAGCCCTCTTCAGGTGGTCCACATCACGCTCGTACAGCTGGATTTTAGCCTCCAGTGCTGCCACCGTGTAACGGCCGAACCTGGGGGAAAGATCGTTTTATGTCTTTTAATTGTCCAAAGATCGTTGTGACAGAAATACCACCTAACATTTACCTGAGTGACAAATTCTGTAATGCTTTTGAAAAAGCAAGTGTATTTTATGAAAGATATCTAATTTGAAAATAAAACCAAGATATAAATAAAATGGTCTTGAGTTTGTCTTTTGGAATATCACTGTAGCTGCTGTTGATTTGAAATAAAATATGGACAAATAGAGAAATTACCAGATTCAGCAACTACTCCCTGCCTCCAGCGTCAGCCATTTTCATTGGAAAAAAACTAAACGGAGCAACTTCATTGCAGCATTTTTTTTTTTTTGTTACCTCATGACCGTGACTTAGAGGCCAAACACTATTTTCAAACCTGACACATCTTGTCATTAACACAAGAAAGAAACTTACTTCTGAGGAGATCTGCTCGCCACCTCTGCCTTCAGTCTCATGTTCTCTTGTACAAGGTCGACATTTTGAGATCGTAATGCCTTGTTTGCCTGGGGATGGTAGAGCAACACATTTGCAGTAGGTTAAACATTATTTCTCAAAGGTAGCAAGAAAAAAAAATCAATCAATCGGGTATAGTCTTTATGCTTCAGACAGAAACATCAAGTAAGCCGATCTTTATTTCTTATTGATGGATGGTAATGTGGCATAAAGAAGAAAAACTGCTTCTTATTTTTGCCTTATTCACTCATAGTAAAATGTGTTGTAGAGATTATTCTTTTAGACAGAAAGATGAGGATCAATGTAGTTAGTAAACGTTAGAGATTCCAGGTATCGAGATCAGAATTGGAAAGAGAAAACATAGTTAGTAAATGTCGGTGCAATAAATTGATTATTACAGGTAACAAACCTCTTTTAGTTTGTCCATATCCTGTTTAACTTTATCGCAGACATCTGTAGCGGCCCGCAGCCTGTTTTTCCATTCCTCCAGGACACTGGGGTCAACGCTCATGTCACCTGTTTGCACTGTATCAATGCTGCAGGGATCCAGAGCAGTCTTCAGTTGTGCCTCCAGACTTTGATTCTTTGTTTTCAGCTCCTCATTTTCTCTGATGAGACCCTCAATTTCTACCTGTTAGAGGTAAATAATGACAAAATGAAAAAAAGAGTATGACAATTAACAACACTGCCACAAAACTCGTTAAGTTACTAACATGTTGAAAAGTTAGCATAGAGACTATTAAAGCAGTGATTTTTCCATTTATACAACATGAAATCTGAAATTGAACATTCTGCCACATTCAACTGAGGCAGAAGTTAATTCTGCTCCAATGTTTAAACGGCTCCAGAAAGTGCATCACTACAGAAAATCTGCATCAGTGGATGATAGCTGCTATCGAAACTCTGTCTTGACCTGAGAGACTTTTCTTATGGATTTGTGTTGGTTAAGTTTCTTTATAAATATACAAAAGCATATAACACATAAGTGATGTTGCACACTGCATGATGAACTGGTACCTCGTACTCCCGTAAAAGCAGCTCTCCTCTGGTTTTTCGGAGACACTTCCTCATGGAAGGGCTGTCACTGTGATCACTCTCATTGGTACCTCCTGTAACGGAATCACACAAGCACAGAGGGAAACTAGTGTTTAAAGGGGGCTCATTCCTGCTTGAGAGAGGCAACAAACTAACTGGGCATAGGTTTGAAAAGACTGAGTTGAGCCCGGCTTTAAACTGAAGGTAAATGTGATCTAGATTCCCAAGCCTTCAGAAGGTTGTGTTTGATTTGATGTAAAAACAAGTCTTAAAGCCCCATTCTTTGAGCCTCGCCTTAAGTGCTACTATAACATCTTGGGAAGTATGCCTTTGAGCAGTCTTGGCCAAAGTAGCATGAGAGAACTTGACCGTATCAGTACATGTTTTCAGTTACTTCAGATGCTTTCATCTCTTAGAATGAGTATTTTACACCTCATTATTCAAATTTTATCAGACAAACTGGTGCATTAGAGTGTGGTAAAGTTCAGGTTGCAGCGAGGA